CGGGGGGGGGGGGGGGTGTGGGAGGCAGCTGATCGATGTTTCTCTCTCTTCAATGTTTCTAGCTCTCTAGCTCTCTCCTGTCCTCTCTGTGGAAAATCAATAAAATATAAAAAAATAAAAATAAAAGCTCTACTGCCTTAATTGAGGTTCCTTTGCTAAAGATGTACATATGGATATATAGACAAGAAGTGGAATAAAGATTCTTCATTGATAACCATAGATATTTATTCCCATTCTTCAGGATGTCCTCTCTTCTCATTAGAGAACCAAGCTGCTGAGACATGGCCTCTAACAGCAGCCAGAGGGATAAGGGAAACCCCATCTACCTCCTCCTCGCTTGTGTCTATCTGACATGGCCCTTTGCTGGGACCACACCTACAGACCCTTGGCAATACAGTGAGATCAAACCGAGGGACCAGGATTTGAGGACCTGCTCTTCGGGAGCCTGGCTAGGATGGTGCAGGAGGGAGAGCTTCCCCTTACCTATGCAGATAGCTTCCCCTTTGGTGGTGATGACCACGATCTCCTGGTTGACTTCAATGCCGTCCTCATATCGCAGCACACCTGGAAGCATGATCTTGGCCCCATAGCAGATTGCGTTCACCTACAAGGATGACATCACCCCTGAGAGCCCCAGCCACTGCCTTCACCCCACACCAGAGCCAAAGGGGAGGGGGCCCGTGGGCATCTCCCCACATGTGAAATGGGGCCAAAGACAGTCATTATCTGCAATGAGCATGTAGAGACTCTGAATAACAACCACTCACCACACACTAGGACTTTAAACAGCAACTCCTCTATGTCTGTGGAACTTAAGGATGTTTTCATTTTAAATCAATGCCTAGCCTTAGTTTCCCTTAATTGCTCTTCTGTTCCTTTAATGAGAGAAAACCTTAACAGAACTAGGAGACCAATTAGATCTACTGGGAGATTTGGGTAGTGACAGGTTCCTGGAGTAACTTGCAAGCAAGATTACCAAGACCTATTGAACCAACTACCCACAGGTTTTGGCATAACTTATAGGCCAACAGGTACGTGTTAAGGCCACCTCTCCCTGAGTTCAATGGCACTTAATGCATCCCGCTCCACCTGCCTTGTCCTATCTAGATCTCTTCTGTTAATGACCATGGGTTCAATTCCTAGTCAAGGGTACATACCTCGGTTGCAAACTTGACCTCTGGCCCCAGTCAGGGCACGTGCAGGAGGCAACCAATTGATGTGTCCCTCTCACATCGACATTTCTCTCTCCCCATTCTTCCTCCCCACCACTCTCAAAGGAAAAAAAAAAATCAATGGAAAAAATATCAAGTGATGATTTTTAAAAAAATTCTATTTAACAGGTTTTGAATATGAATGATAAACCTCAAATTACTTAATACAGAAATTTATGTTCTTCAAAGTCAGAAAATCTTTTTATTACTACATAATGTTGGACAAAAACTTGGTTATGCAAGCTGGGCACAAAGACAACCTTAATTTATAAAAGGCTATTCTCTGACCATTAGAAATAAAAAGGCTATTTTAAAAATTCTGGACTACTTGGAAGAGAAATAACTTACCTTTGAAACTCTACAGTCTCAACTTTTCATGCCCATCAAAACAACATTTTCTTGCGATTTAAATAAGATCTGTTTATTACACACATGCAGAACTACCAGGTTATGGGAAAGCAAATTTCATGTACCACTGATAGACTATTTCTTGAAACAAGTTACTTTGGGAAAACTCTTAGGTAAATGTTTAATTAATTTGCCTTATTTAAAAATAGAATTAGACCTAGCATTAAACTTTTACTTTAATTCAGTATATTTGGTTCTGATTTAATAAAAAAGTTAATCATAAATGCATAAATGCTTCATTAAAAAAAAGGAAGAACCCAGTGTCCAATCTATACAACAAAACAACAAAAAGCAGAAACCCCAAGGAATTTAAGTTGACGTCATGTTTCACCTCTTTAAATAGAAAGTTTTCAGAACATGGACCACATCTCAGCTGTGAAGTCACGTTTTGTCCAAACATGGACTTGAAACCCAAAACTTACTGCGCTGTCTTTCATAACCAGCCGTTTATGAGATGTCAACAGCTTTTCCAGAGGGTAAACAACTCGCCGCAGGTAACTCTCATCTTTGTGGTTATCGTACAGCCACTGGGCATCGAGCACGTCATGCATTGTCACCATGTGGTCCTGAAAAGCAGCCATGTGTGAAAATTAGTCATTGTCATTGTATCTCAAGTAGCACAACAGACGCCAAACTTCCAAAGGCGGAATGAATCGAGTCGTCTGCTAATCCAAGCTCATTAGTCTTCGGTCCCTTCAGAACCTGTCTCTCTTGGGTACCTTTAACCTGCTGATGTACAGTAGGTCCTCGGGTGACGTCAGAGATCCGTTCCTACGGCGCGACGTAACGCGATTTTTGCCGTAAGTCGGAACCCACCTACCTAAGCACCTACGTCACTCACATGGAGCGCATACACAGCAGTATATGAAGTGAAACAGTAAAAAAAATTTATAAGAAAGATAACAATTCCTGACCTTTACTTGTGGTAAATAATAAAAAACATAAAGCACACATGTACATATGTCAAAATGACGGAACTTTTTTGTAGGCTGGGAGGTAAGTGAATAGAACAACGTTTTCTATCCGGTCATCTCCCCTAGCCTGTGTTTCAATGTCCCAAAGTTTAATTAACAGAACAGGGAACTGCCCTGAACTGAACTCAACACTTTGGAAATTGCCTTTTCCAGGCTGTGAAGCAGGTGGCGTTCCACCAGGAGCTAGAATATACAGGGTGGGGCAAAAGTTGGTTTGGAAAATAATACAATAATTACTAAATAATAAACCGTTTCGTCTACTCACAACTGTAGACCTACTTATGCCCCACCTTGTATTAAGTACCAGCTCTAAAACTGCTAGGCCCGCAATGGTGTGTACCTTCTCGCTCATGACTCCAGAACGAATCCGCCGAAGTTCCTGCATCTGACCGCCAACTCCCAGTAACAAACCAAGGTGTACACACAGCGTCCGAATGTAGGTGCCGGCCTCACAACTCACCCAAAAGATTCCTAAGATACACACACACACAAAAGTAGCCCACATTTTCCGAAGTAAACACGCCACCAGTTGAGAAACCCAGAGTTATTCTCTATCTGAGCCAGAGAGACTAAAGACGACAGACACAGGCCATGACTGCACCATGTACTAAGGACATCTACTTTGAATAACAGAGTATAATTCTCAAGAATCCATTTCTACCCACGCATGGCCTGTTAACTGAGCTCCTTCACAGGCCTAGTGACCTACCTAATCTTCTTTCAGGATCATACTCAACCATTTTGCTCTCGTAGATGGTCCGCACTCGGAGTTGCCTCTTTACTGCAGCAATAAGTGGGGGGCGCTGGAATAAGGCGCCTGTCAGAGTTTCTAGGGCCTGAGAATAAGCACAAACCAAAATGACGACTCGTATTGCATAGACTCTCCAATAACATCAAAGGGCATTATTTGGGGGAGTTGAAGGACACAACTGAAACACACAAGATTCCTATCAATCATTTAAGGTCTAAAATGCCCTTTCAAATTTATGCTTCTTTCTTCAACTACACAGGGATGGCTCAGTGCTGAAGCAGAACTCTCTCCTCAGAAGGGACATGGCCGGAAGTGCCCCTGCCACCTGTAGTCACCAGTCCAGGCTGCGATGGGCGGCCTGCTCAAAAGGGCACGAGAGAGGCCAGCCAGGAAAGCTGACCTGTCTCCACATGCCTAGGGGCTTCAGAGATCCAAGTCACCAAAAGATGCCCTCCCTAGAATTACACTTACCCTAGCAAGCTGAGTCCCCCCTTCAATAGCATTGTGCAGCCGGACAATTCCCACATACTCTTTGCCTGAAAAATGACAAAAGAGTAGTCAGGTGTGGCCACTGACTTTTCTGTAGTTTTTATATACTCCTATCTCATCGCTCCTATTTTGTTCAGCAGGAAAAGCAGGCGACTGGACCTTCTGTTTCTGTAAAATTTGCATTAAGACTGATTTCCTGGGGCAAGTGTGGGAAAGGGATGCAGACACAATCTTTCACTCCCTGGGAGTTCAACGTTCAATGTGCTGACAAGGATAGTTGGAGAACCCGGTGTAGCACCTGCAAACCAGGAAAAACTCTGCAAAGTCAAGGTGGAGAATCTTCCCAGATGAAAATGCGGGAAGGGTAGCCCTAGCTGCTTTGGCTCAGTGGATAGAGCAGTGATGGCGAACCTTTGGAGCTCAGCGTGTCAGCATTTTGAAAAACCCTAACTTAACTCTGGTGCCATGTCACATATAGAATTTTTTTGATATTTGCAACCATAGTAAAACAAAGACTTATGTTTTTGATATTTATTTTATATATTTAAATGCCATTTAACAAAGAAAAATCAACCAAAAAAAATGAGTTCGGTTGTCACCTCTGACACGCGTGTCATAGGTTCGCCATCACTGGGATAGAGCATCAGCCTGCGGACTGAAGGGTCCCAGGTTCGATTCCATTCAAGGGCACATGCCTGGGTTGCGGCCTTGATCCTCAGTATGGGGTATGCTAGAGGCAGCCGATCAATGATTCTCTCTCAATGATGTTTCTATCTCTCCCTCTCTCTTCCTCTCTGAAATCAATAAACCATATTTTTTTAAAAAAAAAAAGAAAGAAAAAAAATGCGGGAAGGGCACTTTATTTTATTTTTAAGCCCGAGGATATTTTTCCATTGATTTTTAGAGAGAGTGGAAGAGAGAGGAAAAGAGAGAGAAATATCATTATGAGAGAAATGTATTGATTGGTTGCCTCCTGCACTTGCCCCAATCAGGGCCCTGGGCCCGGGAGGAGGCTGCAACAAGAGGTATGTGCCCTCGACCGGAATCAAACCCGGGACCCTTCGGTCCCACAAGCGGACGCTCTATCCACTGAGCCAAACCGGCTGGGGTGGGAAGGGCACTTTAGACAGAAGCAGCAATATCACGTCAGAGGAGCCTGGAGTGATAAGCAGAGCTGGACTCGAACACAGGTCTGCCTCAGTGCTAGGAACAGACATGATTGGCTCAATGTACACATGCCTAGTAACCCAGCACTCCAAGAAAAGGCAAATAGCACAGACGGTACACAGAAAACTAGGATTTTTTTTTTTTTTACTAATGAAGAAATCGATTTCAAGAGCCAAAATGTGGAAGGGAAAGGAAATACAGGAAACCTTCCAATGGAAAATTACATACCTGCACTCTGTTGCGATTTTACCAAGCGAGTGGCTCGTTCTATGCACACGATTAAACAGCCGGTCACCTTGGGATCCAGAGTACCACTGTGTCCTGTCTTCTCCACCCGAAGTATTCGTCGGATCCAGGCTACCACCTCGTGGGAAGAGGGGTTAGAGGGCTTGTCAAGATTAATGAACCCTGTCCTAGAATGGAAAAGAAATTACTGGGCATTGGTTCTGGTCCCCTAATCAAAACTGAATCTGAAGAGTAAAAGAGAATCCACCATGGGTACAGGCGATGAGATTTAGGACAATGCCATTCTAAGATGCCACTACCTCCTTAAATAACTGATGCTACAAGGTGTCATTTTGAAAAGAACAGAAGTTAGAACTGTGCTCGCTCCAAACACACTTACCTGATATAATCACCAATCTCCCGCTTCAGAGGATTTGAACCACAAGGAAGAGGCGTATAGTGTGTCGTCCTTATATTTAGCTTATCAAAATTCTAGAAAGCAACGATACAACACAAAACTATTGATACATGTAAAACAAGAAATGAGCACCCACCATCAATTGTGATATGGTTACCCTTCAAGTTCACAAACTTGAGTTTGCTCCTGTATTTTCGTTATCTGCTGTGACAGAACTGTTAAGCCTCCTTCTAGACCAGAAAAATTACTCACGAGCAGTAAGACAAATGTGATCACCCCTCTAGAAAGAGACTCCTTGGGGTGCTACAGATCAGACTGGGCTTCACTATGCAGGTTTGTGAATCAAGTATGGACTAGCTTTTTCTCAGGGACAAAACACAGCCAAGGAGGACTGGCAGCAATGTTTCTCCAACACGGCTTGTTTGTTCTTCCTCCAAATGCTCTTCTCTCTGTTTGTCTCATGTCTGTTCCTTGTTACTCTCCTTTCTGAGGCACAATCACTGGTCTGAAAGCACTCACCTCCCTTGAAGCCCACCTTTCATATCACCCGCCCCCGGTTTAGTTTTGTTATGGTGTTTATCACAAATAGAAATTATTTTAACTATCGCCCACCCCTAGATTTTAAGTTCCACGACAGTAGGGACATTGCCTACCAGGTTCACTAGCATATTCCCAGGGCCTGCAATAGCAAAGCAGATGCTATCTAAATGGCAGGCACATCTGGCTGTGTAGAAACTCAACTGTGTTGAATTATATAAACAAAGCTCATTCCTTTCCCATATATGTTTTATTAAAACACTTTGTCAAGGGGTGTTCTTGGGAACCCAATCTCAGAGCTGGTGCCTAGTCAGTCCTTTAGGAAACTTGCAACTCAACTCATTAATAAACTGCCTTATTAAAAACCCAATATAATAATCAATCATTTCTAGAGGATATGTTACATGCCAGGCACTATGGCTAGACATGTTTCATGGATTACCGTTGGCTTGACTTCTAAAAGATATGAGCAAACAGCCTCAGAGAGGTGAAATGACTGGCCCAAGGTCACACACTGCCCATGCTTCTCAAGCACTAAAGTAGACCTACTCCACGTGTGGTTCACAAACTGGTACCAGTCGGTCAAGTGAAGTACAGAAACCAAGAACTAATTGCGTATAAACTGTGATAGCAACTTAATGTTGTTTTGACATTTTAACTGTATTCTATGACTGTGCTGGGTGCACTGGAAATGGGAAAAAAAACACACCTGGTCCTTCATCTCAGACTTTGAGGAACACCACTTTAGACTATCACCTGGCACTTCCTAAGTGAAGGATGCTAGCATTAAGCACTCTTAACGAACTGTTTAACCTTGAGAAATAATGTAAAAGCCAGGCACTGACCTCATGCACAATCTTAGCCACATACCTTTAGCAACAGAGGCCACTGAGATGTGTCCAACTGAGCCACTTTGGATTCAGGTTTGATAAGAAATTCTCCAATGTGTTGGATTTCCTTCCAAGGACAGAAACACACTCTATTAGACTTCCCACCAGATTCCGCACAACTCCATTAACGCCAAAGCCTATGCCCCTTCAACAGGACCCACAAGGGAAAAAGAAATAAGCCAGAACCTCAGAAGGGTACAGGTATTTAAAGAGAAAGAGGGATAGTGGGTCTGCAGGTGGAATAAGAAAGAAGATTTCAGGGAAAGCAGTTGGTGTGGCCAACACCACTTAGCGAATTGTATGTGATGGGAGAGATTTAGGTTGGCTGGGATCTTGTACAACGACCACCCAATTCTAACCCATTCCTTCAAAACCTCTGAAAATAGTTTCATTTGTTACCTAAGTTTTGCTTTTAGTCAAAACAAAGTGAGACATATTCCTACTCACTGCAACATCTTCTTCTGGTAATGACTTGGATTCTTTTTTCTTTTTATGCTTCTTGGGCAAAGTAACGGCTAAAAAACAAACACACACGAGATTTGGGAGTTCTTTCCGAAAATAAAGGCAATGAAGTTTAAAATAGAGAACGAACCAGGGCAGGTAGGCAATGGACGTTTGGTCTACAATTACTTGGGAAAACAAAAGTGCGTAAGGCCAAACGCGCGGGTTGCGTGGCTCAGTAACAGACTAGAAGCGGTCGCACGTGTCAGCTTCCATTAAGTTCACCACGTGGCGGGGCTTCCTGTGCTGCAGAAGCGCTCGGCCCGCGTGCCGGAAAGTTCCCTAAGTGACTCCTTGACTATCCCCGCGTGTTTGTGACCTCCAGAACTTTCTTGCGTGTCAAAGCTACGCCCGAGCCCCTCCACCCCTTTTCTTCCGCACGCATTGCGACCATCCTTTCCTCCCGAGCCCCGGAGCGCTGCCGGCGGCGTCTGGGCTGCCGGCAGCACCGGTACTGGTCTCCTGCCACTGCAGGGTGCACGCCAGCAGGGTCGTCGCCTTTCGTTGGCGACCCGGGCCCTAAGGTTGTGCTGTCAGCGGGAGGTCCGGGCCTCATAGCGTCAGCTCATCGCGAGGGCCTCCCGCGTTATTGCCCTAATCCGTGGAGCCAAGGCCAAGAGGCAAGGCTGGCAGGAGGCTCGGCAGCGACCAGACCCGCGGCGCAGCTGGAGCTAACGGAGAGCTCTGGCTCCGACGCCGGCCCCCCGACCCAGGATCTCCGAGGCAGCAAAGCTGGCCCCAGGCGGGAAAACAGCCAAATCGGTCGTGACAGACCAACCCTTACCTTCCATATCCGCCATGTTCCCCGGCAGAGCGTGCGAACCGCGTGAGCCACCGCCAAA